GAATTCATGAGTTAATTGAAACTAGATCATCATGGAAAACCTGAAAGTACTGCATGGTTTGTTTCGCTGTAGTAAGAAATTCCTCGGCACTGTATATGCATGAGTTTGCTCCACGAGATTCTAATCCATGACTTATCAGTCTTGCGCGCGAAAGCTTAATCACTAGACCATTGAGCCGGCCGGTATCCAATGGTGTTAATGTGTAACTTCAAACAATCTGTTAAATTGAGCCACCGTTCACCATTGTCTTCAGTGAGCTGATATCTCACAATACACCCGGTTGAACTCCATTGGTCACAACTTCTAACTAGCAATCCAAGAAATACCTCTTGAAACCAGTCACTAGTAAGCATATGATTATTATCAGAACGGAGTTTTGTGGAGATTTTATTAATTTTATAGTTGAATTTATGAGTCATTTGAAGTTAGACCATCATGAAATAATTGGAAGTTCTGGACGGTCGTTTCGTTCTAGTATCGAATTCCTCAGCAGTGTGTATACACAATCTCGCCTCACGAAATTCGAAGCCAAAACCTATCAGTCTCGCGCGCAAACGCTTAACCTCTAGACAGCTGAAAGAATGAATGAATGAGTGATATAGATTAGTTTTTGTTCTTGCATCTTGATTGTTTCCGGCAAAAATGTATAATCAATTCAAATGAATCATGAATTTTTATTAGAATGGGGGTTTGTGGATTATGTAGTGATTTTGAAAGTTGAATTCGTGAGTTAATGTAAGCTAAACTACCATTGAAAACCTGAAAGTACTGGATGGTTGTTTCGTCTTGGATTGTTGATGGATTGATTGAAGTTAGACATTAACAACGTTGAATGCCGATACAGCGGTCTAAAGTTTAAAAAATCACGTTTGAGACCGAAAGTCTTGTATTCGAGTCCTGCATTCAGGATTTTGAATGCGTACTGCTAAACAGTCCCATACTACGACGAAACAATCATCTAATACTTCCAGGTTTTCAATGGTGGTTTAGCTTACATTGACTCATGAATTCAACTATTAGAATAATGAAATTTTGTTCTATACTTTTATCATGATATTCGGGATAAAATTCTAGGACATCTGTTTGTTATAATGATGATAAAACTGGTTACTTTTACTTGTAATAACTAAATAAATACTGATATTGCTCAACATAAAGAAGAAACTTACAACTACCGATGAAGATTTATTATACAGCAGTGATCCAGAACTATAACAAAATACACTGAATTATGTATATTTTCCTTACCTGTTCAATAGCTAAATACAATGAACTAGGGAGTAGTTGATATCCGTTGATCAATAAGTAAATACATGTAGATACCTTATAACATCAATGGATTTAGCTATATTAACTAATTATACACATAAACTACTGAGATGTATACTTGTTTTTTTCCTAATAGCCTTATATATCAGCGCTTACTGATAATTCTGATCAAGTAGGCTTATGAAGTCTAATTAAGTAAGAAAAAAAACGAAACAGATTACATGTGAAATGGTTATCTTTCATAGATTCTTTACGTCTATATACAGTTTTATTCTGGTTGAAAAATGGTAAAGTATAGGTTACATATACATATGTATATGCTTATATATATATATGCTTATTCTGGTAAGCGTTTTTTTATATGCACGAACAAACGCGTGTGTAGACAGCCTTAAAACATCCTTAAAGTCAACACAGAGAACACCACCCCAACGATACATGAAGGAGGGACTCTGGAAGATGTGGAATCTTTCACGTAACTAGGTAGCATCATCGGTCAATAAGGAAGATCTGATGCAGATATAAAGGCGAGGATTGGCAAAGCAAGCACAGCATTCCTACAGTTGAATAACATCTACAATTCAAAACAACTGTCTGTCAACTAACATCAATATCAGAATCTTTAATACGAACATCAGGACAGTTCTACTCAATGGAGCTCAAATGTGGAGAACTGCCACAAACATTATCAAAAATGTACAGGTATTTATAAATAATTGTCTATTCAATGTCCGTTCGCCGGATACATCAACAACAGTGTAATATGGGACGGGACAAACCAGTTTCCATCTGAAGAGGAATTACGAAAAGATGTTAGACGTGTATAGGACATACATTATGGAAATCACCAAACTGCATCACGAAGCAAGCCCTAACTTGCAATCAAAAAGGCAAACAGAGAAGAGTAAGGCCAAAGAACACACTATATTGAGAATTGAAAGCACATATGAAAGGAATGAATAGTAACTGGAAACACCTGGAAAGAAATGGTCAGGACAGAATTGGATTGAGAAAAGATATGGGCAGAATATGCTCTTCCACGATGTGTAACACACATGTAAGGTTGATACATATGCTTACTTCAACAATCTTTTTTTTTTTCATAGTACAACAACCGTTAAATTGTTTGATTGTTATTTTAATTCACATGATATATCAGTTGTACTAAGACTGATGAAACCTGTAAACTCCTATATATTATGTCAATCAATTACATTGTGAAAGGTTCATGGAACAATATAATTTACAGAAATGCTGTAATACATGAAAGTAACCACATTTACATTGATTCGTAACCACAAATAAAGTTCTCAGAACAAACTTATATGATACTTGTTGAATAATGAAAAAGAAAACTCACTTCTATATTATAGTAAACACGGATGATGTCTAAAACGATTTAAATGGTTCACTTTTAAACAATTTAACTTATGGAATTCGAAATCAACAAATACATATACTTAAGTTATAAATATTCATCATTATTTTACATGATTTATTGAATTATTTATCATCCAAAACATCAAAAATATCAAATATACTATAATCGATAAGTGAATAGTAATCAATAATGTATTGTATAGTTCCTATAGTTACCTGACTTCTAAAAACCCTTTATAAATCAAGATTACTTCATTTAAAGATATTTCATTACGGATCAGTCTGGTTGATTTTAGATTATTTAAGGTTAGTTGACAAGATGATCTGAACGTGAATGCCCTACTGATTAGGATTTTTTAATAAAATATTATCTTTGAGAAATTAATGATGTCCCATGAAATGTGAACAAGTAAACAAATTTTTTGATTCTGGTTGATACACTTTTACATTGATTATTGATATGATTTGTTAGATTTGTTTTAACTGAATTAATAAATAATTTTACAGGAAACAATACCAAATGAACTTAAACTTCACCCTATTGCACAAGCAAGTGGCTATCAAGACTCAGTAGCGAAGTGGATAAAGTGATGGTGTTTGAAGTGAATGGTACTGGGTCTGAGTCCTAGAATGAACAGCAACTTTGAGATGCAGGTACAATCAACTGACGAGTCCCAAATAGGAAGAAGTAGCACTCTTCCTGGATTTCATTACTAGCCACTATCCATCTTTGTATATAATTTTACACGATAGTTTCGTCAAATTACTTCATTTAGTCAATTATCAACACAATTTTTTTTTTACTGTTGATTGAAAACTTGAAATCAGATTTATGAGAATGAACGTATTAAATATTATATCATATATGTGATCAAAACATCTATATTGAGATAGTGGAAAAGATTTGTAGCTTAGGTGGATGATTTTGATGGAGTTTTGTTCTCTGATTTAGTCGTGGAGCTTTCATCGCTCTGCTGAACGACATCATCAGCACAAACTTCAAGTAGAAGCCTACTGAGAACAAAACCCTATCAAAAACATCCATATATTCTATGTCTAGTGTGCTTTTAAAACTAACCTTTCATCTGTTTATTTATTACAATTTAATTTACTTTTTTTTGGTTTCCTTGGAGATTATGAATGTATTAAAACGTAAAGGTAAACAGAGTATTGTTGAAGTTTATCTATCATGTTTTAAATGTTCATATGTTATAAAGAGCACATTCGATCATCTTTCTTATCGATTCTTTGGTAAATACTGCATATCGAAGTATAATTCTTACTAGAGATTTCATTTAAAGCTTCTGGAACTATGCACAACTGTCAGCTGTGAATATGTTTACTCAGTGCAATACAATATGAAGAATGGAAGACACAAATATATTGAAAATTATTGTTTGAAATGAGTCATTCAATATAAATAACACTCTAATGTGTTACATTTCTATATTTAATCAATGAGAAAGTGGCCGAAAGTTTTTGATTGAAGATATTATTTGAATATTGAAAATGTTGCGGATCACTTTAACTAATAGTATCTAATTAAGCAAAGATAGATAGTGGCTGGCTGTGAAATCCAGGACGCGCACCACTTCATCCTATTCAAGATTCGTCAAATGAATGTATCTACATTCTAGATTTGGTGTTCACTCTGGGACTCGAATACCATCGTGTTATCCACTTAATTACTAAGTCCTGATAATCACTTGCTTGTGCAATGGGGTGAAATTTAAATTCACTTGTCATTGTTTTATTTGTATCTTCTGATTGTTATTTAGAACTGCAATTGATCAAGTCAATCTGCCCAAGATGCACATATACGAACATGAGACTGATCAATTACAGTCGTAAATAACAATGAGAAGATACAAGTAAAAACAACACCATGTGAATAGTGTAGCGTGGTGTCGAGTTGAGCTTGACTATGAACACCGCTACAAGACTACGTGCCAATTAACCAATAAGATCCCCGTAGGCCAATATCAGAAGACAGATGATGGCTGTAGTCGAGATGTATTTGTTGGCGATCTCGTGGTATCGAAAGAATACCGAGATCGTGCCAAAGGAGTACAAACGTGGTTACTGAGCGTAACCGAATTCGTACAAGTTCACAGTCAACGGGAGAGTAAGTATAATGGCTGTCATTAGCACAGTTAAACAAACGAGCACAGTAAAACAGTCCCTGGTACAATTGGTTATAATAATAATTGTTTTCATCGATCCAATCGCGTTCTGTTGACAAAAGTAGGTCACTACAATAGTATCTAATGTTACATAATGTATCTTTTTTCCTTTTTTTAATAGAACAATAATCTATTTACTATATTTTTTTCTTTCCTTATTACATTTAGGTATTTTATCAACATTTATTGCATCTGTTGTTGTACATAAATTTGGTTTAGAATTAAAAAATGGTTGGAGAGTTGCTTTATGTTTAGCAGCATTTAGTCAATTTGTTGCTATGATTACATATTTATTATTTAGTTCAAGTGAACAACAATCTTGGGCATATTCATCAACATTTGAAAAGGTTAACAAGAATAATGATGATAATGATGATGTCGATGATATCAATAATAATAATCTCAATAAGAATAGACCTATGGAACAAATCAATCATTCCATGATTTGATATACATATATATATATATATATGATCTTCTTTAAATGATTGTCTTTTTAATTACATTTATGATATTTTCTTTTTGGGTTTAATTTGAATATATTTTTCAAGATTTTGCATGAATTTCATGAAAAAAGAAAAAAATAGAAAGAAGAAAACAGAGAAAAAGAAAAAAGAGAAAAAGAAACTAGTTTTCTTAACATACAAAATTTCTCATTAGATTTTATTGATTCTTTCTTATGAAATAAGAAAAAAAAGAAAAAAAAAGAAAAAAATCAGAAAAAAAACACAAAAGAACTCTAATATTTGTAATTGAATAATGAACAAAATTATAGAGAAAGTGTTTATTTAAAATAAAAGAAAACATTTTGATTTTGTTTATGTGATAAGTTTATCACCATTTTTTTTTGTTGCTAAAACAAATAAACAAACAAGAAATTTATTAGTATCAGAAGAGGTTTTGTAGAGATTGTAGTAATTTCTATAGTTGAGATCATGAATCAATTGAAGCTAGATCATCATGAAAAACCTGGAAACACTGGATAGCTGTTTTGTCCTATTGTGGGACTTCTCAGTAGCAATGTGAATTCACGACTCTGACTCGTGGGATTCGAAACCAGGATGTATCAGTTTTGCATGCGAGCGTTAAACCATTAGATAGCTGAGCCGGCTGACATCCAACGATATTCATGTCTAAGTTTAACTAATCCATGAAATTGAGCGATACATCCACCATTGTTTTCATTGAGTTACTATCTCACAAAAGATCCGATTGAACTCCACTGTTCACTGCTTCTCACTAGAACTTCTGGATATATCTGTTGAAGCCATTGACTAGTGAGAATATGTTAATTTATATCAGAAGGGGTTTTGTAGAGATTGTAATAATTTCCATAGTTGAGATCATGAATCAATTGAAGCTAGATCATCATGAAAAACCTGGAAACACTGGATAGCTGTTTTGTCCTATTGTGGGACTTCTCAGTAGCAATGTGAATTCACGACTCTGACTCGTGGGATTCGAAACCAGGATGTATCAGTTTTGCATGCGAGCGTTAAACCATTAGATAGATGAGCCGGCTGACATCTAACGATGTTCATGTCTAAGTTTAACTAATCCATGAAATTGAGCGATACATCCACCATTGTTTTCATTGAGTTACTATCTCACAAAAGATCCGATTGAACTCCACTGTTCACTGCTTCTCACTAGAACTTCTGGATATATCTGTTGAAGCCATTGACTAGTGAGAATATGTTAATTTATATCAGAAGGGGTTTTGTAGAGATTGTAGTAATTTCTATAGGACAAAACAGCCGTCCAGTGCTTTGAGGTTTTCCATGATACTCCAGCTTCAATTAACTCATGATCTCAACTATTCAAAAAAAAAACTTTATTATTTGAATTAATCAGTATGGATCTGTGAAGATTATCAAGTTTTTGATTAAGATCATGAACTGATCGATTTTAGGCCATCATTGAAAATCTAGAAACACTGGATGACTGTTTCATCTTATTGTAGGACTTCTTAGTAATATGCATTCATGATTCAATAAATATGATTTGATGTAAATTTCATTCTATATATCTGATGACCAGAAATGAGTAAACATAGTGAAATCAGAAGAAAAACAAATGAGACAACATTTATCTAATATACATTTTATGAGTTACAATATCATGTAATACTTACTTACTTACTTACGCCTGTTACTCCCAATGGAGCATAGGCCGCCTGAAGTCCCTTTCCGGGGGCTACTGCCGGTTCCAAGCCCGGATAAAGGAGGAGGGTTGGGCATGGGGTTAGCGACCCCATCCCGTAGAAAACCAACTCGCTAAAAAAACGCTAACCAGAAAAAATTATTCAAACCATTCAATATCCTGTAATATCTAGGATGTTTACCATGTCTAATATACAATGAAAAAGGAATATTTTCTGTAGTAGTTATGTTTTAATAATAAATATAATAAATGATTTTACCCTTTTGGCGACAGTAGTGACAGGCATATTATGTCATCATACTCAGAGATTAAATAGACAGTTTCAGATCATGTGATACACCATTATAATTAATGATTGTAAACTAGACATTTGATTCGAGTAGTAGTTTATTGAAGAACAAAATATAAAGAGGAATCATATCGTGTAATGTTTGATTATAATTACAGTGAAATCAATGATGAAATGTAATTTACATAGAATATAATATTATTTATTATAGCTGATTATCCGTTTGTCTTTACTAACTGGTCATACATCATTGCGGTCATTTATTTTTCCGTCATTTAGATCGGATGATGTTGTCGAAGGGCTCTTCACTTAAGTGGCTCGAGATCTGACTCCAATGAGATCGTATGAATGTTTGTTATTGCCTATCCTCGTATATAATTATTGACTTAAATTGCGTTAGTCAATAACGGAATTAAATAATTCAAATAACGAGAATGGACTTTTCGATACATATATTTGTATACGAAGCGAACGGAACAGAGAGAAGAGAAACGACGCTCAGTAGAGTTGGCTGGTAAGCCAACTCCTCTTTTAACCAAGCTTTAATCAATATTTATAGGCATACAAAAATAAGTTACACACATGTGATGAACAGTGGGATAAGAAGTGTAAACACGCCTACGCGCTCATATAAAAACAGTCAAGATTGATAAGTGAATAATTAACAAGTTCAGAATGTGACTCAACTAGAATGAATAGGTTGAGCTGTCCGAAAGCTAGAATAAGGTATATGGGCTTAACATATTAATAATAGACACTACACACCAAGTATTTACAAGAATACATTGGATAAGCTAGATAATGGTCAGTAGTTGTTTCAATACAACAATCACAGCTAATAATCAAAATAGATGGACTATTGACTATGCAAGAACATACGATTATAATACCAAATGAACGAAGTGTCAGATTCATGTAAATTATATGGAAATACTAAACAACAATAAAAGGATCATTTTACGCAATGTGATCAAAAGTAGTTGACAATGCTATTAGTTACTGAATATATATTAGTGAGTACTAAGTTTGGAGTTGAGTATAGTCAATAGGAAACCGTCAACTTAGTTCTTGTTAGCAAAGTTTATTTGTATTTTTCAGGAAATTGATTATCCTTATTGGATTTGATCTTTTATCACCAAGACTCACATTCAGAAAAATTACTACCCAGCTACCTGGGCTGCGAACAATCTCTTGTAAGAAAAAGGTGTATTTATAATTGATTGACCACTAAGTGGTGATAAACGTTATATATATGTATATATAAGTTAAGTCCCTTTTTAATGTTCATTCAATGTTATTAATCAAACGGCAATATTGTTATTAGTTTAAGTGACTCGGTACCAGATATAAGGTTCTGATTGAAGGTAGTCGATAAACATGACATCGCTCATTACCTAATGACAAATCAATTGTCAATTAATGAGAGTTATAATATAGTACACAAAATGGAACTGAATGCGCTTTCATATATATATATATATATATATATATATATATATATATATATATATATATATATATATAAATGTGGAATGCATTTCTTTGTTGTTGACCACAGCGCATAAATTAGATATTAATGTAAGAGTAATAGACAAATTGTTATGTTCGCTTAAAACATATAAAATGGTGATATTTGTAAAGCATGTTGTACAGCACGTTTCTATTTGTTAGATCTTGTTGTGGATTTCCTTATTCATATGAACAACTCACATGTGAAACCTTTCAATATAATCTGTAAGGTATGAACTTCCTGAGTTGATGAATTAAGAGATACTATAGAAGATTGTTAATTCGACGGGAGAAAGACATTTGTTTGATAAGCTTCTTCATGTCACTTGAAATAGTCTTTTGTTATTTTGTAACTGAAAGTACTGATTAGTAGGTACTAATTACTGTTCCAAAACTTTTTTAATAAACAGATTAAGTTGTGACAGATCACCTTATTACAGTTAGGAATAAAATATCTGTGTATGTTACCCTATGTAATCCGAGGTTTGCTTCATCTTACTCGAAACTGACAAGAACAAAGATGACAAAGGTTAGGTGGCAAAATACATTTGAACTAATGTAATGATAAAAGGGAGTGTCTTACTTATATTATGTTTGGATGTGATTACATTGCTCGATAGGAAGTCTTCAATTAGTTGTGTCTGTTAACACTAACAAAATGAGCAAATATTTTAAAAGTCGATATTTATAGATAAGTATTCGTAAGTATTTGCCTTATACTTTTATACTTGTCACAACTCCCGAAATCAGCAAGTAAACATTAAGGTGTCTGCGTTACGTGTGAAAGGGAAGCCAACATCACTTTGCAAACTGTAGAACTAAATAATTTTTTGATAAAGCTTAGTACTTATTTCTATGTTCCAGAGCGGAATGAAGAACCTTTTGAGATTGATGTCATGAAATTCATATAACTTGTAAGATTCGGTCGTACGGATTTTCCCTCATCACATGTAGATTAAATTAACTTCGCATTGTTTCGAACGCAAGCTGACAAGCACACGCGTAACTAAACGCTAAGGCTTGCTACAAAATGAATTCTTGTTCTTCAGTGAAAACTTATGTGTTCCAGATCAACTAAATGGTTGGAAATAAGGATATAAACCAAACTAAGGTACCATATGTGTTGTATCTGAACAAGATTAAATGAACGATAACTTCCGGGGATTATTTACAGACTACTATATATGTATTCAGTAAACAGATTAGATACAGTAATATATATTTCATTATAGGCTTTTATTTGGCTTATTAGCTACCATTATACGATTTACCATTCTCAGTTTTTATTCCCAAAATATAAGTTGCAATCTTCCATACTCAAAACCACATTTGGTTTAATCTTTAACAACTGTTATTTTTTATTTTATAGTGTTATGCATTCTGGTCTGCTTGTATACAAAATATGTATGTCTGAAATATATTATTCAGACAGTGAAGAGGGATATTTCGTTCTGGAAAAAACTGGCAGGGCAAAAAGAGAAGCTACTA